ACACAGCGGACGAGGGGAGGGGTCGCGCGGTGGGAGGGGGAGGAGGTGCGCAGTGGGGCGAAGGGGGATGTTGCGCGGTGGGGGGAGAGAGGTCGCGCACTGGGGGGGGCGGAGGTTGTGTAGTGGGAAGAGCAGGGGGTATTCGGGTGAGATCGGGGGGGATATCGGGATTGGGGGATGGGGGCGCAGCGAGGGAGTGTGGTGGTCAGGGGGCGGGACGGCGCGCACGTTCGCGCAGGGGAATTGGGGGTGGGAGGAGTGTCGGGATTGGGAGGGGAAGCAGGGCGCAGCTGGGGGGGAAGCTGCACGTGCTGGTGCTCCAATCTCTTGGTGGGGAGCTGCACCTGCTCCTACGGAGACCTTGTTACGACTTCTCCTTCCTCCAAATGATAAGGTGCGCAGCTGGGGGGAAAGCTGCACCTGCTGGTGCTCCAACCTATCTGTGAGGAGCCGCACCTGCTCCTACGGAGACCTTGTTACGACTTGTCCTTCCTCCAAATGATAAGGTTCTCTGAACTTCTCACAGGACGTCGAGGGGGTGGCATTCCAGACACTTCACCAGGCAATTCACTCGGTAGGAGCTATGGGCGAAGGACGAACCAGAGCACGAGCAACAGCTGGTAGGATGACTGCAGCAGCTGGAGTAGCGCAGGCGTCGAGAAAGGGGCCAGCTTGGATGACGAATGTACCTTGTCGCATTGACGGCCAGGTGCAGCTGCAAGAACGAACTTGGAGATGGCTATAGGCCGTGGAAGGATTGCGAGAGGGGGAGGGAGGGAGGAGCAGAAGTTCGAAAACCCGCTCCGATACCAATGTACCAATGTAATGCACGTGCAGAGATGGAGATGGAGAGAGAGAGAGAGAGAGGAGATGGACACACACGAGAAGCAGCACCTGAGTGAAGGTCCAATGTGACTGAATGAACGAACCCAAGAATGAATGAACCAACTGTGCCCGGACCTGGGCCTAGGCCGAACTGATGTACCGGCCTAGGTCCAGGTACAAGAATAACCTGGTACCGGACCAGGGTCAGGCCGGCGGCAGGAAACTGGTCCCGTCTCACTATCCGGCCGTAGGGGTACCGCTACTCTCTCTCTCTCTCTCTCTCTCTCTCTCTCTCTCTCTCTCTCTCTCTCTCTCTCTCTCTCTCTCTCTCTCTCTGTGTGTGTGATACACTTGCCACGTTGCTTGATCTGACAGTCTAGAGAGACAGCGTAGCAACAAAAGAAGCAGAAAATGGACGGAAATGAAACAAAAACGAAGAAGGGTTACTCACCTTCAGCAATGGTGGCGCTGTCGTCTAAAAGCCTCCATGCAAAGGACAACCTGAGCCCCAACTTCGACCCTTCACGATGCAGATCCCGATCAGCCTCCAAACTTCAAGATGCACAGGCCAACCTCCAGCACGTAAGAGAGATTAGGGACAACAAATTTGTCTTCAGCCTCACCCCAAATGTAGTGTGTTCGGGTGCGTTGGTGTGTGCCTGCGACTGTGTTTTCTGGGTGGGTGTGTTTGTGCATGTGTATGTGTGTGCGTCTGTGCGTATCCATCACAGCATAGGGTAGATTACAGTCCACCATGATCGCTTCTGTGTGGCTTTATGTGTGGGCCTCGTTCCACTACACTACATTTGACACATAATTGAAAAAAGGAAATAAAACACAAGCCCTACACTACAGTTGAAATGGGGATTAAAAAATGCTACAGTCCGTTTTCGTTCCACTTGACAAAAAACACAAGTGTGGCTCCTAGTGTTCGTGTCTGTGTGAGTCCAAGCGTAGCAGAGCGTGAGTCGAGTCACAAAGTTCACCGTCTTGCATAGCTTGGTCAGACTTTGAGCGTATGGGCCGGCTCAATCCTGGCAGGTTTTCTCCACTTATCAGTCTAAGGGCCTCGGTAGACACTCCTTGGGGACGTGAAATCCACAAGGACGTCCTCGTTCCACCTGTCCTTGGGGACGAAATTGAAAAAGAAATGTGAAAACCGCCACAAGGAAAATTCCTTGTGGCATCCTTGTGGCCCCAGCCATTTCTTCCTTGTGCCCAAGGGACCTCACGAGGTCCCTTGGGCACAAGGATGCCGCGTTTCACGGAGAGGAGAGGGCACACGGGTAGATAGACGTTACAGCTGAGAATCTGGATCGTGGCGGCACCCTATTGGCTGAAGGCCTGAAGCACAACTGTTTTTTTTTTCTTTTTCTTTTTTTTTTTTTTTCTGACATCAGTCTTAGGAAATGTCCTCGGGCGACGTCCCCGAGGACAGGTGGAACGAAGAGCCCAAATTCCCTTACGAGCCACAAGGAAAATTCCTTGTGGCGCAAGGAACTCGTAAGGAGTGTCTAACGAGGCCCTAAGTTCCTTCTTCTGGTCCTTCTCTCAAGGTTTTTCCAAAAGACCTTCTCAGTCAATCCCCTGTAATCCCCTGTAATCCAGGGTAATCAATGCTGGCAGGTCATTTTCTCCGATTTTTTCTGATCAAACCTGTATATGGGGCTCGTTTGACACTCCTCGGGCGCGTAAAGTCCCCGAGGAATTGTTCGTTCCACCTATCCTCGGGGATGCAGTCGGCAAAAAAAAGGTGAAAACACTCCGAAGGAAATTCCTTGGGCGCCGAGGATTCCCCAGCCATTTCTTCCTTTTGCCCAAGGGACCTCACCTCACGAGGTCCCTTGGGCAAAAGGAATCCGCGTTTCACGGAGAGGAGCGGGCACATGGGTAGAGAGACGTTACAACCGAGAATCTGGATCGTGGCAGCACCCTATTGGCTGAAGGCCTCAAACACATGTGATTTTTTTTTTCCTTTCTTTTTTCTTGTCTGACATCGTTCGAAGGAAATGTGGTTGGGCGACGTCCCCGAGGACAGGTGGAACGATGGCGGGAATTTCCTTGAAAACCCCCAAGGAAACTTCCTTCGGCCCCGAGGACGCCCCAAGGAGTGTCGAACGAGCCCCTATGGGACGCTGGACCCATTTTCCAGCAGGTGATGCTCCCCACCAATAGATGGAGCCTCTCGCCGGGTGGTAGTGGTGTCTGCTCTTATCAGCACCACTAACACTGGTGGGAGTTAAAAAAAAAAAAAAAAAATTGTCCAGTGCTGCCCTACCTAATTTTTTTTAAAAGGTGGTTACCCGCGTTCTCTCAACCCCGCCGTGTCGGCCCAGTGCGCTCCCCCAAGATTGCCCACGCAGGGTACCATCACAGGGTACCAGCCAATTTCCAATTTCCCGAGTCGTGCTGTATAGAGCCTAAAATTGGCCGAGCGCTGTACCATACCGGCCCAGCGCGGGAATTCACTGGAAATGGTTATCTTTGCCATCTCCCTACATTGAGATCGGATCCTACGCAGAGGACCATCGGTGGAGGAAGGGGATTGGATAGGGTTCTGGGGGACAAAGGGGGTGATTGGGAATATAGTATATACTCAGCCAAAAGGGGCGAGGGAGGAACAGGAAGTGGTGGCCAACCGGTTCAGGATAAGGGCTGATAACAGTTTAGAACGGGTACAACCAGAAGAAACGGAATGGTACCCGAGGTCGAGAGTTTTTCGGGTCTGTGTCCTTAAACCACCAGTACCTCGCTCAGTGTTCGGCCGCGGGCCTTCACGTATACGCGCCGCAGCCTCGGGCTGGTCGGCCAAGGGAAGGCCCGGTCGTAGCGCCAAGGCCAGGCCCCGCTTCTGTAGGGACGACACACGATCAAAAAAGAAAGAAGAAAAAAAAATTGTAATACACAAACGAAAAAAAACAACAACGGGAAAACAGTTGAAGTCGTG